GTAAGTTTCTTTTGCAGATGAGTTCCAAATAATTTATGTAGATCCTTCCCTTCAATGAATGGGGATATGACACTTTACTCCTAAATGGTTGGTCTTACACATTTCTTTTCAAGAAATACATAGTAAGAATAAAAGTAGAGAATAGTAAGAATAAATACTTTTATCATGGACAAACCTGACAAACACTACATCAAGTAAGTGATCAAGGCCAGCATCAATGATCATCATTCATATCAATCACACAAACCCTGATATTATGTAGTACAAATGAGAGTTAGCACTGTAGTCCTCTCACATGAACTCGTGACCGCAGTTGCATGATGCAGAAACTTCAGACAAGTCCAAGATGAGAGACATCCTACAAATTACCTGACCAATGCACCTCAAAATCATCAAGCTTCTCAAAAGCAAGGGAAGTTGTGAAACTGTACAGCCAAAAGGGACCTAAGGAAATATGATAACTAAACATAATGTGGCCTACTGACGGGGTCTTGGAACATACAACAAAAGCAGCACATAAAATTGAAGGACATCCTAATAATCTTTGGATTTTAGCTAATAGTAATATATCAGCATTGTTCATTAATTACACTGAATGTACCACATAATGGAAGATGTATATTTTTAAAACTCTATGTAATTAGAAAAGGAATTAAAATTTTATATTAATAATACTTTCCAAAAATAAACTTGGGACCCAATGACAGTAAACCATGGTGAGAAATACTAACTTTTGGGAACAAAAATAGCAATAAATATACACATGTATATAATTTTACCTCCTGAACTAAAAACTGTGAATAAAAATTGAAATCATTATACTTGAGTTCCCATACCACAAAACATATAAACCACACATGTATTAAATGGAAAAATAGACAGTTACATATAAGATTCAGTGGACAAATTTCACCCACTTCAGATATGCTATAGAATTTTATGTCAACAATGTACACATTTAGGGTTTATGAAGACATAATTGGAAATGTATCTCTAAGCATGAGAACCCTGAAGATCTGCATCTGACACAATAAAAGTATTTTAATGTTGTCTCTTGAAACATTTACTTTCCTCTGATTACAGTTAGAAAACAAAGCAAATGAGTACTTAAAACAGGACCAAATACTTTCGCAGATAAAATTTGAAGTCTTAAGAATTTGAATCAGTCCATATCCTGACTCATTCTGTTATTGAGCCACAGAAGATATACAGACAAAATGAAAAGATTCCAATTCAGATTTATCATGTTGATTAGCCATGGCTGCATGCTACCATTGGGTTTTGTGAGAACATGTCCTTTAGCTTTAAAATAGAAAAGCAAGAAAAGAAAGCCATCAACAGACTTCTTAGCAACTTCAGGATTTTGCCCAAACTTTCAGACAACGTGACAGCATTCACTCAGAAGCATAACAACGTTACTGAAATACTGTATTATAAAACAATAGTCATAGCATAGAGTGTGCTGGGAGGGAGGGAGGAATAACAGGAGCAGTGAAAAAGAACAAAGAGCACAGCAGAGAAAGGTTATTCTTAAAATGAAAAGCTGAAGAACTGTATAGTTATTCCACAGAAGCTAAGAACAGCAATAAATAAATAACTCCAGGTCTAAACAAATCACACAGAATGGAATCTAGAACCTCAAACAAGGTGTTAAATTCTTGTAATAATACAATATTTGACTATTAACTACGTAGGTATTTGGCTAAGAAACTTAGATCATTGCTTTCTATTAACTATTAAAAACACAGTAGTACTTATCTTTTTTTCTTTTTCTTTTTCTTTTTCATTTTTTCTTTTTTGTACTTGGAATCAAACTCAGGGCCTTGTGGTTTGCCAGGCAGGTGCTGCACCACTGAGCTAGATCTCTGACCCCTTATCTTCATTTTTAAGAATTAGTAAGAGAAAGAAAAATGAAAAATTGAGGGTGGAAATATGATTAGAATAATTTGCAAATGTAGATAAAAATTCTTTGTGATAAGAATGCATTGTCTGGCTTATAGGGAGAGTCCATGATTATCTTCAATGAGCATTCAGAATATGGCATTTCTAGAGTAGAAGAAATAATCTCCCATAAAATTTAATTGAAAAACAAAGACTTTTGGGGCTGGGTATTTAGCTCAGCGGCATAAGCGCCTGCCTTGCAAGTGTGTGGTCATGAGTTCGATCCCCGGTCCAAGAAAAAGAAAAAGACCAAAAAAAAAAAAAAAAAATCTTTTGATGTATGTAAAATAATTTCTGAATACACAGTACTGTCACTATACTCAAAATGTGTTCACATTTTTGTTGTTTTTGTTTAACTACTTTCACGAAGATAAGTAGGTAAGTACTTCTGTCTCCATGCCTTTGGGCTATTTTCAAGAGAGGAATACATTCTCCCTTCCTCTCCTGCCTAAACCTTCAACATATTCCTCAAGTCACTAGAAAAGTTCTCAACTGTACTTTAGGGAACATTTATTCTAGTCACTTCTCCTCAATGCACCCCTTTACAGTACTGAAATTAAGGAATACTGTCTCTCTCCAAATACAACAAAACTGGGACTTGAGAAAGAAAAGCTAGAGACTTGCCTAGAGTCACAAGTAACATCAGAGACAGACATCAACGTGCAACATCTCTTTCATCCAAATCATTGTCATAAGGCAAACTGACAAAAATCTGCTTTTCAGAGTCCAACCTATATTTATAATAAACATCCTTATTTTTAAAAAATCAATACTTAAGACATATACATGAAACATCATTGTGATTGTCTCCAAAATTATAAGTAAACTAAACAAAACATAACATTTAAAAAGAAAAGTCAAAAACAGTGGTACTTTTGGTTAAGCAATTAGTTGCCTTTTAACAACATTATAAATTACTGCAACCCCAAAGGAAATAGATTTTATAATTTCATCTATCTAGCAATTGTTGAGCATTTAGCATTGTCTTCAAAAAAGAAGAAACAAAGGGAAAACTGAAAAGAGAATTCTGTAGCTATGTCTGTTTATTTTTTATTAACAATCATTCACATAGCATTCACTATGATGTCTGACATGGTTCTGGGCAGTTTGTACACATTTATAGGAATTTAACACCCTGAGGACCTTTGGGGTAAATGCTACAATTATCCCATTCTCAGATGAGGAATGTGGGGAGACAGAAGTTACTTGCCAAGGTCACACAAAATGGAAAGTTATACGATCAGGATTCAAAACTTGAATGTCCATTTCCAATATTGGTGCTCAGAATCATATAACTGTGGTATCTTTCTTTAATAGTTTAATTAATAGTTGCATAAGAGTAATTACTCCCTAAATTTTCAGAGTTTTCCTGGATGGCAGTTGTCATAAGTGAAGGATTTGAGAAGTGCTCAGTAAGATCCCATCAAGTTCTTCTCTATGTGCTGTGAGCAATAAATTTAAAAAATTATCAAGATTTTCTTAACCATAAAGCAGTAGCTCAGGGTCATCTGGGACTGCCTCGCATCACGTTGGTTAAATGCTCAAAGTAGTCTCTAATTCTGAAATGCTTCCCCTCATTCTTTCTGCTGTTTCTCTGGTCAATTTGAAAATTTAACATTCAATCATTCATCAATAAACTTACTGAATAACAACTACCAACAAGGTGCCGAGCTGTTTGATGGAAGGTTTTAACCGAGCAAAAGGTTTTCCTCTGTAGAAGTTTACAATCAAGCTGTAAGAACAAAGCAGATTTCCTTAAATAAGCAACTAACAAGGCAGTAAGTCGTAAGTGTCAAAAGAGTGTTACAAATAATAAGTACTATGAGGAACTTAGGTATCTGTTTTTCTCTGCTCTAGGACTTCCTTATATACCCACTTATTAGAGCAATTTTCAATTGTAATTATTCACTTGCTAATGTCTAATTTAGCTACTCAACTTTTCCACTAGAATGTTAGCCCCTTGAGAACAAGTAATTAATTTGAATTGTTATTGGACTCTCAATATTTAGCATGTTGTTTGGTATATAATAGATACTTAATATAATACATGAGTGAATGAATGAATGAATGAATGTTAATGGGAAGCAGTTGCCAGTACGGTAGAATGGCTACTCTCCGGTGTTAAGCTCTTAGTCTAAATCTCAACTATACCTTTGAAAAGCTGTGTGATTATGAAAATTTTATCTGATTTCTCTGTATTGCATTTGCCTATCAGTAAAATTATAATAGTAACTTTCTTTTCAATTAATTGGTACAAACCACCTCCCCCCAAAAAAACTAATAATACAAAACTGAAGCTATTTATTTAGCTCAGGACTTCGTAAGTAAGCAATATGATCTACCTTGGGTCTCCTGTCTCATCCTGGCTCATTCGGACATCTGAGCTCAGCTCCCAGATGAGCTGGAGAATCCCTGGTCCATGTGGCATTTATCTTCACTGAGCTTGCATGGACTTTTTCACGTGGCAGCTGGCAGTAGTATTCCAAAGTAGTTGAACTTGGAGAATTAAAGACTATGAGGCCTCTTAAACTTTAGATTCAAAACTGGCACAACGACACTTCTGGCATGTTCTATGGTCTAAGTTACATGGACAGTTCACATTTAAAGAGTAGATTCCATTTTAAACAGGAAAAATCAGAACTACCTGGACGGTGGAGAGGTAGGGTCATATGTGCCATTAATCATTCCTTCCCAAGGGATTGGTCAGCAAATTAAGGAAACTTCTGAAGGTCTTAGAATAGTGCCCATCATGCAAGTAATGGGCACAATAAGCAAAAGCAGCTATTATCCTTTTTAAAGTTGCCTGCCAAAGTTTCATAGTAGGAGGAAATACGAGTTTACTCTTGAGAGACAGATGAGGTTTATGTGGGTGGAGAACCAAGATCTCTCATAAAAAGGCAAGATTAGCTCAGCTCCTGTCACATACAAGTGGGCATATCCAGAGACCAGCTAACAGCAAGCTGCCCAGGGAGCTCGAACTGCATCCTAGGAACCTGAAATGCTCGGAGGTCAAGGCCAAGAAGTTGGAGTTGACCACACAGCAATAATAAACCATTTGCTTTTGATTGTTAACCAATAGAACAATTTCTTGTCTTTTATTGTTATTTCAAGTTTGCTCTTTAATAAGCTTGATGCTGATAACTATGCGATATCTCTGGTCACATCTATCCAAGATTCAAAACAAAACAAAACAAAAAACTAAAATCTCTTTAATCGTATCTGGATTTTGCCAGTCTCTGACATAGAGAAAACTATGTGATGCTTTGTCACTCGGTTTCATTCCGTCTATAAAAGGAATGATCCCTTTATCTAACCATTCCACAATGACAGCAATCTTAAAGGTCAGCCCACATGTCAGTAACATTCACTAACTAAAAGAAATGCAGGGAGGCCAGGCTCTGATGTTTATACAATTCAGTGATGACTCACAAATCTGAATCAGAAAAGTCAAGAGTGAGGAAAATAAAGTTTCAGTGTGGCTACTCCTACATGTTAAGCCACAAAACACTTCTAGAATTGCACTAAAGATAATCTTCAATTCATCCAGTCCAGGAGAGGGTCAGGAGCACCTGGAGCCATTGATATCCCTGGATCTCTGCCACGTTTAAGGCTGACAAGACCGCTCGGTGCTAATGGCAGCTCTACTGGTCTGCTCGGTGGTGATAGCTTCAGAATCTTTCCACCATGCGTAGTTTAAATGCAGATTCACCGATGAATAATTTTGATAATTCTGTCAAAGTATGAGGATTACTTGAATTAGATGACTATATGATTGTGTATGTATACATATACATATATTTTTTTTCCTCAAAGATAATTCTGGCTTCCCTTCTGCCATGTGAAATCCATCCTGCTGAGTGCTCTTGACTAGTGTCGTCCTTCCTGCCATTTTAAAAACAATAGTGGCAGAGATGCAAGCTGCTGATAGTGCTCAGCAGGACAGATCAAACACACAGATGCAATTTCTGTACGTTGAACAGTGAAGTAGGATAAAAATCAAATACTTACAATCGCTTAGTAGCTAGCATCTGATTGCCGCAAATTGAATCTTTCATAACGGGATTTATAGTAAATAGTGTTGTAGCATTTGTGAGTTCTGCAATAATTTCAGCCGAAGCCAGTGCAAGATACTGGAGGTGTGAGATTTACATGATGTATAATGCTAGTTTATGCACAGATTGTGAAGGAATTGTTTTATTATCGATATTATTTTTTAATTGCTTACAAGATAATCGTAATTATAGTTTCTTTCCCTGAAATGTTAAGTGATACAACTTAACAAGTAGGGTTACTTATCAAGTAGGGTAACTTTAAAATGAAAAAGAAAACAGAGGAATTTACTTCATTTTTACATCTGTTTTAGAATTGCAAGCCTCCAACCCTACTCCATACCCTTCCCACCTACTTGTTAAATAAACATTAAAATTATGGTGATTGAAATTTTGGAAATATGGCTTTTGTATTGGTTAGGAGGAATAATCTAGTAATCTAGCAATTAGTGGCCAGTATATTCTATCAGCAAAAAAAGAAATTAAAAACTAAAATATTTTGAGGCCTACAAAATATACTTTAACTCTTTAATGATCAAAATGGAAAGACGACAGTAACTTAAGTGATCACTACTACAGTATTAACCTTTGGATTTAGTTGCAAATAATTGGAAGTTCAGAAAAGATCAACATGAAAAGCATAATGTAAAAATACCACTTTATATGTATGAGAATTTGGTGGCACTCCACATCCTTACTTGATAGCTTTAATTGCTAATGACCCAGAACCCCCCAAAAACATTATCTTACAGCCATGGTCTTGCTGTTCAAGACCCCATAAGGCAATTCAAAAAAGAAAAAGTAAAAATAAAAGTAAATAATAGGACCAGGACATTTGGATAACCTTTCTTCCTCCTGCTCTAAACAAAAACATGACAAAATGTTTTCTTTTACTACATATTGGGGCTTTTTTGTTACAAACATGAATATGCATGTCAACAGCATCTGAGTAAGGAAATCTTACTCTTTGATAATCTAAGACCTTAACAGAAAAGGGCCTTTGTGAGGGGGTAAATCCTTCAGCTGGATCCTTCCTTACTTACTTGAAAATAAGTATTCCATATGCATGTGATGCTTATTCTAGATGGGGAAGTCCCTGTTTCTGAACCTCAGAATTTTCAGCCCCCCCCCCTTTATGCAGGTGTCTTTCCATCTCTCATAAATCAAAGGGGAAGGTAAAAGGACAGCCTTTTGGGGGTACGTTGATGTGTGTTTCAAGAAGCTCACTAATCAAAGCACTGGTAAATTAGAATGAACCATAGTAACATATTAAATAGCAAACAAAACCTAATTTAACTCGTGTCCAGCTTTCTTCATGTTTGTTTTATTCAAGGGCATACCTTTCTTTTTCTGCTTTCTTTTCTCCCTTTCTTGGACACCTCCAAGCCCCAGTGACAACTGAAATGCAGGGCTATAAATGTAAGGGCATAATACATCATGAGATAAGTCTGGAGAACATGTCCTCTACCAAAATGCACATGAATCTCTGGCACAGCTAAAATCCCAGAAACACGCTGAGGTCCATTTCGCATGCTAAGCAGAGTCAAAATGTGAACACTCTGTGATTGCCCTTCTATTTCAGGTGGACTCCAAAGTTGAAAGGTTACATTTGTAAAATCGCAGCTGGGTTTCCAGGAACTTGATTCCAGCTCCTGTAAATCAAGGACTCACTCGTAATTGAAATACAAATCTGACAATCTGATAATCTTTCAACCTAAAAAATGTGATTTCTGAATTCTTCTCTGTTGATGAGCTGGCAGAGAACTCCAAAGGTGTTTGTTCGTTTGTTTCAACCAGGCAAAATGATAGATAAAATGTCTCTAAACAAGACCATGAAGCTTGAATAGTGCAAGGAAACAAATGTGAAGCCAAGGACTGTCCTCCTCCTTCTGCCTATCAGCTCTACCTCCCCCACCCCCAGTCTGCACACTTAAGCCCCAAAGGTAACCCCAAACCCCAAATACCAAGACAGGATAAAGTGGCATCTGAGCACACTTTGAGATCAGACAGTTTCTGCATCTCCTGGTGTGAGGGGGAAGGGGGGCGGAAGGGAAAGCAGCATACCAATGTAGTGAAATCTGGAAACAACAGCAGATATACAGACACAAAAAAAAGTTTGCATATTGCACAGAGCGCTTGAAGATCATAAATCTATGCATGAGAAAGATGTAGTGGAAATTTTGGGGGGGATTAGAGTTTATTTTTGTCATCTCTGTGAGACAGCTACTCATTCATCCAGATCACAGCTAAGAAAAAAGCTGGTCACAGAAATTAGCAGTTTCAGCTCAGCAGCGAAGTCGCCAGCCTGTGAAGGCAGAGAGAAATTGACTAATTAGCAATGCGCACTAAAACTTGACGGTTCTTTATAGAGAGAAGAGAAGAGAGGGAGAGAGAGGGAGAGGGAGGGAGGGGGGCTCGCTTTTTCCCCTTCTTTCTTCCAAAGATGTTTGAAATCGCAGTCATTTACGCTCGACAATTTTTACAATAGCCTTGAGCCATAATTTTGCGAGTCTCTCCAGCATCCATCCCCCTGTATGGTCTCTCTCTACTGGCCAAGCACGACCGTTTCTCTCCCCAACCGTGGATTTCCTATTACTCTCGTTACGACTCACTGAGCCCCAGGCCCAAGGATAATGATGTGTTGTTTCTTGGTAGCATAATTTGTCACACGTACATTTTTTCTTCTTCTTCTCTTGCAGAAAGCTCTGCTCCCTCTCTCTCTCCCTCTCTCTCTCTCCTCTCTCTCTCTCTCTCCTTCTCTCTTTCTCTCTTTTCTCCCTCTCCTACATTTTCTTGTTGTTGCTAATTCATGGTGATCAAATGATGTACGACAAAATAAATTGTAAAGAGTGATTGCCTGGAGTTGGGAACCAAAAGGTGCCCCCCCCCCAAGGAGAGAGCAAACCTTTTAAAAGGAAGGACAATTGATTTTTTGGGGGGAGCTTAAGTGAGCCTTGACTTTGCAGCTGGTTGACAGCAGGTAAGTTTCTGGCCTTGTTGTCTGCCTTGTGTGTATTTTTGTTGTCTTTTGGGTTGTTGGAGGGGGGAGGGAGTCTTTGAAAGGGGTGGGGGGCAGTTATGTGGCAAAGGTTGTAAAGAATAAAACTCCTATTGCAAGAAATAAGCAGACGGGGGGGGGGCAAAGGAGGAGAACAAGAAGGAAGGAGAATTGGAAGACGGGGGGGGGGGGGGGGGCGAGACAACGAAGCGGGAAGAGCGCGACAGAGGTATGACCAGGGCCACTTCCAGGGAGACTCGGATGTTTCCGGCAGCCCGAGCTTGGGGGGCGGGGATGGGGGTGCCGCCGGGGGAGGGAGCGCGAGGGAGGTTGGGTCCACCTGGCACGGGATGGTAAAGTGAGTGGAGAGGAGCCGGGTCCGGCGGAAATGGGAAGCCGGCGATCCAGGACCGGCGGCCAGCAGGGCAGAGTGAGCCGCAGAGGGAGGAAGGAAGGGGCAGGTCCGGCGGGATCCCTCGGAGCCGGGCGGCGGCTCCCCCGGGCGGGCCGGCGGGATGCGGGCGGAGGGTCCCTTTCCGCTGCGTCCTGGAAGGTGCAATCACAGGTTACGGACCGGGCGGGTAGACCTCGCCTGGCCTCCCCACCCCACCCTCCTCCTCCTCCTCCTCCTCCTCCTCCTCCTCCTCCTAGGCGCGGGCGGCTCAGACTTCGCAGAAGTAGTTCCAAGGCCGGGGGTGTGGGGTACCCGAGTGGGGGGCTGGGGAGCGGGGCCCAGGGACTCGGGGGGAGCTGCGGTGACCGCCCCGGGGCGGGGCGGCGAGCCGCTGACCCCCGCTGGGCGCTGCACCGGGATCGTCGGGCAGCCCCCTCCCCAGCACCTGCCTGCAAACTTGAACTTCTGGTAGTTCCCGGAGTTCAGCGACGGCGCCCGCGGCCGGCAGGGAGAACCGTGCACGCCAGTCCCTCCGGGCCTCGGCTCCGGCGCTGCACCCACCGAGCGGCCCCACTTCCCCCGGTCCTCGGGGCCGCCCCGCCGCACCCCGGGGAGACGGGGTCAGAACTCCGCGCGGGGCGCAGCGGGAGGCGAGGGTGGGGGACCCGGGGGTGACGGAGCGGGGTGGGAGGACTCTCCTGCCAGGTTTAAAGGCGTCTCTGGAAATTAGCAAAACTGAGTGGTGACGGGGAAGCCTGGAGTTTGCGAAGCAGGGAAGCGGGCAGCGGCGGGTGAGGGAAATGAGCTAGAATTGATAAGCACAGCTCCCGCCTCTGCCGGTCCGCCGCCGTCCTCACCGCGCTCCGCTGCACTTTCCCGGGAGAAGAAAGGGCTTTATCTCCAGCCTCAGACTGTTAGCCTAGGAGTTCTCGGGGCAGCGCGGATAACCCAAGGGGCTCCTGCTCTGGAGAGCCAAGAATCCCCCCACCCGCGTCCCCGTCTGGCCCTTTTTCCTACCAGTCCCCCCCCCCCAAAAAAAAGAAAGAAACCGGGCCAACTACAAAACGCACAGCTTCCAGCAAGAGTTGAGCCGGAACCGCCGTCGGTCGCCTCTGCGCTCTCCGGGCGCCCGCGTCCCCGACTCCCGGCCTTTCCCTTCCTCTGGCCCGGCATGGACAAGAGCTCACGAGGTGTCCTCGGCCTCAGCTGCAACTTGGCCGTCGTCGCTGCCGAAAGCCGAGCCGGGGCGGTTTTAGGAAAGTGAGGGACAAGTGTGTGGGAGGGAGAGAGCCGCAGACGGGCGCCCAGACCCCAGACCGTGGATGCTTTAGGGTCGGGGTCCCCAGAGCGCCGGGAGGGGGCCAAGCGGAGCCTTGATTGTTGTTCTTTGCCCTCCCCCTCCCTTCACACCCTTCCCCACACTGACCACACCCCACCCCTCCGCCACCTCGCTCCCCTTCCCATCCCCCAGCCCTGTCTGCCAGGTTGGAGGAGGGTTTAAAGCCAGGTGCGCCGAGTCTGCTCGCCATGTCCAGATCCGGGGACAGGACCTCCACCTTCGACCCCAGCCACAGCGACAACCTGCTGCACGGCCTCAACCTGCTGTGGAGGAAGCAGCTGTTTTGCGACGTGACCCTGACGGCTCAGGGCCAGCAGTTCCACTGCCACAAGGCCGTGCTGGCCTCCTGCTCGCAGTACTTCCGATCGCTCTTCTCCAGCCACCCCCCTCTCGGGGGAGGGGTCGGCGGCCAGGACGGCCTGGGGGCCCCCAAGGACCAACAGCAGCCCACATCGCAGCCGCAGTCCACCCAGCAGCCACCGCCGCCGCCGCAGGAGGAGCCCGGGACTCCCTCCTCCTCCCCCGACGACAAGCTGCTGACCAGTCCCAGGGCCATCAACAACCTGGTGCTGCAGGGCTGCTCGTCCATCGGGCTGCGCCTGGTGCTGGAGTACCTCTACACGGCCAACGTGACCCTCTCCCTGGACACGGTGGAGGAGGTGCTGTCGGTCAGCAAGATCCTGCACATCCCCCAGGTTACCAAGCTCTGTGTGCAGTTCCTCAACGACCAGATCTCTGTGCAGAACTACAAGCAGGTGTGCAAGATAGCCGCGCTGCACGGCCTGGAGGAGACCAAGAAGCTGGCCAACAAGTACCTGGTGGAGGATGTGCTGCTCCTCAACTTCGAGGAGATGCGCGCCCTGCTGGACTCGCTGCCGCCCCCGGTGGAGTCGGAGCTGGCGCTCTTCCAGATGTCCGTGCTGTGGCTGGAGCACGACCGGGAGACCCGCATGCAGTACGCGCCCGACCTCATGAAGCGCCTCCGCTTCGCGCTCATCCCGGCCCCAGAGCTGGTGGAGCGGGTCCAGTCGGTGGATTTCATGCGCACAGACCCTGTTTGCCAGAAGCTGCTGCTGGACGCCATGAACTACCACCTGATGCCCTTCAGGCAGCACTGCAGGCAGAGCCTGGCCAGCAGGTAAGAGACAACAAAGAGGAGGGCGGGGTGGGGGGTAGACCGAGAGGCCAGAGGGAGGGGGAGGGGGCAGAGAGGAGCAGGGAGAAGGTTGGGCTGGGGAGGAGGCTCCCACAGGCTGGAAACAAATACAAACAATTCAGAGGACATGGAGAAAAGTTGATTTCAGAGTGCCTGAAAGGTCAGTAGGGAACTGGTCTAACGGCATCCTTGAGTGCGAATGAGCCCGGCTTCTTCACCCGCCCAGAGCTGAGGGCTCAGACTGAAATTGACAGGCAGGTGGGGCCAAAGGCCAGAGACCTGAGAAGTGCAGCTTTGGAAGCCTTTCTGTCCTACCCCTGCTTCCCAGTCTCGCGGTGGGCTTGCTTCAAGAAAAGGATTCTGTAATAAGACTCTATCCTTCCTCTTTCCTGCCTTGGGCCAGTAGAAGTGCCCAGGGGATGCTGGCAGAGACGAGCTTTCATACTCCAGCACACACTCCAGTTGCGTTTGTTGTGTGTTTGTTTTGTTTTGTTGTCCTGATTGAGGCCGGCTCCCTTTGGAGGTTGGAACTCCAGGACTGCAATTGGAAATGCTGGCTTGCTGTGGCCACACAAACTTTTCCATCTTGCAGAAAACCTTTCCTTCTTACTTTTTAAGGGACAGTAGAGCAAAAGATCTCAGGGTGGTGGGTGAATCTTCCCATTCATTTCCATGTCAAAGAGGTGTGTAGTTGAAAATTAGGAGTGGGGAATCTCCTTCCTAGTGGACTGGAGCTTGTCTCCAAGTCACAAAGGACTTAAGAGTTGTTGATGCTGGTGTTGCTATTTAGGATATGTGGCTAATAGAATTTCATGTCAAAAAGGGGAAGGATGCCTTTTTAAAATGCTACTGTGATGAGAAGACTGTAAGAATTGACAGTCATGTTTTATAGGCTCCAATTTTTAAATTCTTTTTAATGAGCCCTAGCAAAAGGTTTCTTTCTCTTTTTAGAAAAAAGAAACAGTATCCTCTCAGTTTCTCATGATAAAAGCACCATGATTCCAGATGTTAGGCTACTCCAGCCACAACCATCCAAGTGGTACATTAGGAAAGTGGATGATTTCAAATTTGTCATGGCATGTTTTCAGGCAGGCTAGTGCCTAAATCTACTTTGTGCAGTCTTAAAAGGTATTAAATGGAAAAGTCAAAGTTTTTTTCATGGTATTTACACAGACTTGGGTAACTGAAGTTTTGCAGAATGGAAGATACTATCTATGGCTGAGGAAGCATGATGTCAGCAGGAGGGATAAGGAACTTGAACTTATAAGAAACCCCACAAGTTGATTTTTCTAATATCTGTGAGAGAGAACTAATGTCTTGTGGTGTCAGAAGATGACAGTAAGATGCTAGCAGGATTTAGAATCCCAGATCCACTTGAATTTGAACCCCCAACACAGGAGTCCAACTTGAAAACAAGGCATGAAAACTGTGTTCATTTTTTAAGTTTCTCAGACTACCCAAAGATCAAAATGACAAGCTCCGTGTGGTGGGCTGTCATTAGCCGTCAGTGGGCTTTGGTGATTAACATTCTGTTATTTTAATTTTTATCATTTTTAAAGCACCTACAAATATACAACATTTAGCGTCTATCATACATCTATCATCCAAGGATTCAGACTACAGTTACAATCTTGAACAGACAGGTTTTGTGTATTTTTTTAATGTAAATTCAGAAACCCAGAGAGATAATGAAATTAAGACGACTTCTCCTAGAATAATTTGGGCAGATGAGCTTTATAAATATAACACAATAATTTCTGGAGCCCTCAATCTGCTTTTATCTGGGTGTCCCAGGATTCAGTGTGAGAAAGTAGACTTTCAAAATACAAAATCTATTTCCTGCCTTCCTCTGGATTCAGCACACCAGCTGGGGCCCACTGGCTCTGTCTGGTGGATGGCTGAGATACCAGGCTCCCTGGCTCCATGAGACACCTTCCAGCTTCACTGGCCCACATCATTTGAAGAATATGTAGTGGAATCTGACCACTAAATGCTTACAAGTGTCATGGATGCTGCAGGAATCTGATACTTCTGTGGTAGGAAGAAAACTGCATTCTCCTTTAAAAGAAGAAAATACAGAAAATAAAATAGTTCATGTGAACCTATTGTTAATTTCAAAATTAATATAATTTAGATTTTGTTACATTATTAGCAACTGTAACATTTCAAATCTTAAGGGCTAATCAAATTATTCTACTTTTAATTCACAGGGAGAATGCAAAACTAACCATCCAGATCTTAACTTTAATGTAGAAAAAAATACAGCAAGTTGTAAATCAATAGTATTAAATGAATCCATTTATTATAGCATCAGCATAATATAAAAATGTTTTCTCAGCTTTACATAAGTTTAACAGGAAAATAAATGTAGTAACCTATTGTTTTTGAGATTATATCACTTTTGCTGAAGATGAATGAATGAACATTATGTTTATTACTTTTTACATGCTTGTAGTTAAAGTCTGAATATGAAAGCATTCCTCAAATTCAGAGAGGGAGATTGGAAACTAAAATTGACCAGTCTGTTGGAGTCAGTACAAATATAAGCAAAGAACTTCAAAGAATCTACTTGTTTAAAACTATATATTATCTATGGAGAGTAAAACTATTGGTACAATAATGATGAATTAAATATGATTTTGAAGATTATTAAGTCACTTTAGAGTTTTATTTTCTGGGAAAATAAAGCATCCCAAATATAAAATCTTTATGGAAATATTTCAATCAATTGAAATCTTGCTCTAGCTACTTAATGTCTACTCATATTCATATTTTGTTTTAACAAAATTAGGACAATAAATAAAATAAGAAACTTGTCACTTTGTACTCAGATACATACATAAGCAATTAAACGTTGCAAGACTTGACAGTGTTTAAAGAGTCTCAGTTACAAGGAATAAGTTTTATTGATCAATTAATTACACAGCACAGTGGTAATAGTTAGCAATAATGTATCCCAAAATCAGCAAAGGGTTAGATTTTAAACATTCTCACCACAAAAGATAAAAACTGATGTGTAGGTGAGGTGACTAATATATTGATTATCTTGATTTAATCATTCTATAATGTACATGTATAGCAAAATATTTTACTGTACCCAATATGTCCATTTATATCTAGGTAGATAGACAGACAGACAAATTCACCTATAAATTAATTTTTTTAACTTTTAAAAAGGATTACAGAACTTTGGTAGGTAAAATTAAAATATTTCAAAGTTGTTTCTTGATTATTTTATTTTTATTATAACAAGCATAAAACTCACACTATGAAGAGGAAATATGTTAATTTTTTTAAAGTTTCTATAAAACTCAATATTGAAATCTTCTAAAGCATAAAATTGTAATTTATAAGGTAATTTGATATGTAATGCTTAATATATTAAAAAGTAATTAATGAGATCTGTAGGATAAACTATAGTCTTAGAACATAGAGTTGCAAGTTAGTAACTTACTGTATAAGACGTAGTAATCTAATTTAGTTTAAGTAGCATAAAAAGTTTCTTTAATATCTATAAGTAAATTTCAATGCATAATTTAATAATTGATCCAACTACCTCAAATTGTAGAGAAATAATTAACATCTTTTTTTTACATTTTTCACTGTACATCATACCTAATGTGGCAGTTTAAATGCTTACTAAAAGTTCAATGAATTAAAATCATGAAATAGGAAAGA